TCTAATATTACTTTTTATCTGAAAGTGATTCTGGTTGGTTTCCATAATATTATATTTCAAATAAATAAAAGTTAAATAAAAGAAAAGATTTTTTCTTCAATGAAATCAATTATTTATTATTGAATTTCTATTTAGTTTAACCTAGACTATTCTCTATCATATTATGGAAATTCTCTTCATAACAAATTCGTTTTGTTTTGTTTAAGACTGTAGCTACTCTTACTTTCAATTGTTTTCAGTATATAAATATATAAAAATTCTCCATAGGATAATAATAGTTGAATAGTTTAAAGTAAATTATATTAACGTTCTATAGAATTGCTGAGGGTGTTTCTATTTCTGAAGCAGCGATACTAGATTATACATAATCGAACGGATTTTTTATTTTAAACTAAATATGAAGATGTTAATTGAAAGACATTTAAGAAAAATCTAGTCAGACTAGGAAATAATATACTCGAGATAGGTAACAAAAAAACAATAGAAAATAAACAATTGAATTTCATAATGAATATATTATACCATTATCTTAGATTTATTTATCATAGAATTTATTCTATTAGCAGATTAATGACAATTGAAGAATAAGATTCGACGTTCGAATTAGATATAATGTTCTTCAGAAATAATAATCAAGAAAAAAACGTCAGATATTTTATAAATAATTGGTCATTATTTCCGAACCGTTTTAATTAATGCAGAGGAGATTATGATAAAGAAAAATATTCTTATTCATTTCTATGATAATAGATTCGTAGTTCTAGTTCTATATTGTTATACCTAGAAATCTATTAAACAAGTTAAATATATTTTCTTTTCATAATAAAGATTATCAAATCATATCAATAACAAATTCTCTCAATTGATCATTTTTGTTTAATATAATTATCTCATTTTGTTAATAATGATATTGAAATAATATGAAGAGAATTTTCGTCAATCTAGACAATTATAAACAAATAGAATTCACCGGAATTTAAAGTAGAAAATAGCGTTTTTTTTTCTCGATATCTATAGAATATTTATTTCTATATAAATATTTTAAAATATATATATATTACTTGATCAATATCGACCTATATTTAGTTCAAGATCATTCTCTATAACAATGAAAGTAAATTGATAAAAAAGAAAATATTTTATCTTACCGAATATTTTTAAAATCTATTTGTAAATGTCAGTAACAAAATAGGTTTGTTAGAAAAAGAGAAATTTCAATGCCTCGAATTATTTCGAAATCAGAGGATTCATAGGAATTCAACAACTAAATTGACTGCATCAGTCTAATAGTTTGTTTCATTTATATTAACAATTTTTCTAAGACTATTTTCAGTTAACTGAACACCTATCACATCGAACAAAACACAAAAAAAAGCATCATAGATAAAATTCTTGTTTTTGTTTGTGTTTCCATAGATATCCCTCTATTTATAGTTGATGCCTAAAATCAAGCAAGTTGAATAAATTACCGATAATAAATTGAGACATGACCCTCTTGAAATATTCTAGAATTATCATAGAATTCTACCGTTTACCCTTGTCTGTCTATATATTGTATAAATATAATCAATACCTTCTTAACAATATTTTCATATAAGGAGGTGCGCACACAACTCAATTCTAGAATTTTCGAATAAATATCTATCAATTGACTTGGTATTAGCATAGATCGAATTTTGGAATTTTCAGAATTCTACAATTTCTGAATAAATATATATGATACGACTTGATATTAGTACAGGAAAATCTGATAGAAATCAATTCGAAAATAATTCAAAAAGTATCATTTGCACTCTCTACCAGAGTCTCCATGATTGACCAGAGTCTTCAGGACCTACCAAGATCTTCAGGGTCTAACAGGAGTTCGTGACATCATCGCTGAGGGAGACGTAGTGCGACTCGTTTCGCCATACCTATACCGAGAGAGATATGATGTGTGAGTCGTTTTGCTGGTAATAGGTCGAAGGAATAGTTGAATGTGAAGATCCTGTAAATCGTAGATCCTGAAGATCCGGACAGAGGATGTTTTAACAATTTCAATTATTTTCTAATTAATGTTTTTGAATTAGTTTGTCATTGATTTGCATCAGCCAGTGCGTCTTAGTCAGTTATTAGTTTCTCACGTAATAAACTGTGATAAGATAGATATTTGTTTTCGAACTAGGAAGGCACATTATATTTCGGTGATATATGGATTTCTACATCAGAAATCGAATATTGTCATTGATCCTCTTTTGAAATATTTCCAATTATCCATTGCAGCATAGTCGGTCGATGATCCCAAGAGATTTTTCATATCGATCCAAAAAAATCTCAACAATCAATTGAAGAACACAGATATGTAATAAATAATCGTCAATCACCATCACCTTTTACATGTTAAATCTGAAACATCTGATGATAGACCTATCAATAGACGTTTATTAAGTTTCATATGTTCATGGTATCATGCTTTCCAGCTGATGCACTCGATGTGACAATCAACATTTCAATAAAATAATGGTGACTCACTATTCCTATTTCAGATATAATATCTGCTTGTTTGATAACCACTCAGATACAATATATTTACTCTCGTCAGAATCAATCATCTTAACGTATCTTCTAATTGTAATTCGTATTTTTCATAGTTAGAGATCATCTAAACTAAACCGCGAACACAATCATTTGTATTTCCACTGACAGTGTATTCACTATGAAACCAATTACTAGGACAACACATTTCATTACTACCAAGACTTATAAATTCCACTAGCCGTAGCAGTTGAAACATTCATTGGGTGACTGATCGCCGGTATCACACGTTTTCGATAGAAGTCGCAATCCCAAAGTTAAATAATTAATATAGTCTCACCGGTTATAATTGTTGAATATCTTATTGATATTCAAGGTCAATTTTATAATTGAATAGGACGTCAAAATCGTTCTATAGTTGAATATAATAATAGTCAACGCAAAAGATGAAGATCGAGGTGCAATAGTTAAAACTAAAAAACGTTCCGAAACAAATTCGAGATCTTGATCAATATAATAAAGAATTGAAATGTGCTGATCAATTAGTCTTAGACGTCGAACTACTTCATTTGGATAATAATATAGAACACTATTGAAAAACAATTCGAAAAAATAAGAAAATTCATTTCTTTCTTTTTAAATATCGTTTTGATTAGAGTTATTATTTGTCATAATCATTTTATAAGAATATTTTTTGTTAAAAAAACAAACGAATCAATCTCTCAACGACTAGATCTGTTCGCTTAACGTTTTCATTATTTCATCTAGATTTCGTTTAGTGAAACATCATCTAAAACTAGTCTTGAACTATATGAGGGAAATATTTCAGCTCTCCTTACTAGACTCTTTAGAATCGAAAATTTTCAGACTCAAAACTAACCCGATGGTCACTACCTGCACAGACGTGCCCATGGTAGATGGTTTACCAATATATCCTGCCTACTGTTAATTCCCGCATCAGAAATCGTATATGAATAGCGTCTCGTTATAATAACTATATAAATTATATCTCGTTTTTGCATTTCTCGAAGATTAAGTGAAAAGGGATGGCGAAAAAATCTATTCCTAACACCGATAGAATAGAACAATGACTCTCTTATTATCACACAGGAACTAGATCGTCTTGAATATTCTAATCATTGAGGAATTGCACGACACAGCTTTTTGAAAAGTTTCTATCAATTGAGTCTAATAGCTAGTATGATTGAGATGCGACCGTCTCTGCAATGTAAATGTGTATATCTAAAATAAACCTACCCTATCTAGAATACACTATTGATAAATTCAAGGGGGAAAGTGCAGGTTGGGAACCGCCGGTACCTCAGCACCTATACAGCACCTACAGCATCTATACAGCACCTACAGCACCTACTCAACACCTACAGCACCTACTCAACACCTACAGCACCCACAGCACCTACTCAACACCTACAGCACCTACTTAGCACCTACAGCACCCACAACACCTACTCAGCACCTACTCAACACCTGCAGCACCTACTTAGCACCTACAGCACCCACAACACCTACTCAGCACCTACTCCCCACCGACAGCACCTATACAGTACCTACAGTACCTACTCAGCACTTTTCACATCAAAATTCAGTCGAGTGGTACGAAAATACTTCACAAAATCCAATTTTATTTTCAATAATAGAAAAAACTGCTTCAAATATGCACACAAGAATGAAAATAAATTTTAAAAAAATTATCAGGATATATCAGTATCAAATGGAACAAGAAAAAAAATTATCATGACATATACCGGGTGGGCTAAAAGTAATAGGACAAATAATTTTTTCGATTTTTTTTTCTTTATATATCGACAGTTATATCTCATATTTATATCGCATATACTGGGTGATACTAGCCAGAGATATGCCATATGATAAGCCTCTAGGCGTAGTAATTTAGTTCAAAATATATAAATATGTCTTAATTGCTTGTTATGCGGCTATATAGGAGATTTGATGTTTTTCGTGTTACATTCGATTCGGTTAGATTTTAAACTTCTTGAGACTAAAAGGATACAAAAATTAAATTGAATCAAATTTGTTTCTCAGATTGGAATATGCAGACAAAAATATGAAAATTAAATGTAACACGAAAAACATCGAATCTCTTATATAGTCACATAAGAGTAATTAAGACATATTTACATGCTTTGGAACAAATTACTACACCCAGGGGCTGATTATATGTCACATCTCTGACTAGTATCACCTAGTATATGTGGTATAAATATGAGATGTAATTGTCAATGTATAAAGAAAAAAATTGAAAAAATTATTTGTCTTGTTACTTTTGGTCCATCCAGTAAGTATCCTTGAAACAAGAAAAAAATTATCAGGATATATAAGTATCAAATGAAACAAGAAAAATATTATCAGAATATATAAGTATCAAATGAAACAAGAAAAATATTATCAGGATATATAAGTATCAAATGAAACAAGAAAAAAAATCTTTTAAAGAAAGTCTATTATTACTTTCCAGACGTTACACGTACTAATCGATCACTCGATAACCGCTGTTTGCTATCTGTTAGTAGCCAGCATGCTGTTTGCTTGTGCAAATATTTCAGTGATGATCCGAGACGAATACGAAAATATTTGTTGATTTGTTGTGGACTAACTTTATCGTATATACGACAACCTTGGAATTTTTTTTTTTCTGTATCAGAAAGATCACTTGTTAAAACATTTCCTTCGTCTTCCACTTCATCATCACTGTTCGATAATATTTCGTCTTGATCATCAAATGTTTCTGGATTATCTTCGTCATCGAACTCATCTTTATCACTATCTTCATCAAAATCAATATCCTCCGTATAATCTACCACTTTCGATGATGATTCACTAATATTCGTTTTTATAAATTGACTTAATTCAGGTAAAGAAAATAAATTTTTATTTTTTAATAGCTCATTCATGTTCACCATTGTAACATAGTTTTTAGATGATTCAAATGCTTTTTGTATGATTTTTTCAATATCAAATTCTGTTAAATTAATTTGTTTAAGAGGATTTACTGAATAAACATGTACTTCTTTATCATGTTTATGATGTTGTGGAAATTTGAACTGATAGTCACCTATTTGTCCACTATGAGTTTTAATAGAATTAATAATAGATATTTTCTCGCATCTGTTTATGAATGATTTTACAGTAAAGTTTGTAATCGATGAATATGGACCTGATAAAGCACGAGCTATTCTGAACGTGTTTTCGCAAGTTTGGGAATTGAAAAGATATGTATTGAGCGCATCGGCAGGTAATTTATTTTTAATTACTAATAAAATAATATAAAGTAATGTATGAGCATTGATCTCAATACACCAAAATGTTGGTTTAGTAATAAAGCTGTTAGCTTTAAATTGTTTTACTAATCCTGAATTATCATCATTTCTACTATTTTTTATTGCCCAATGATGAATCCAACTCCACCATAATCTACATGTGAAGACAACTGTCCATATGTGATATAATCGTTCTTCAATTGTACTAGACTTTTCGATAAATCCTATTATAATCGAACGTAATAATGATAAATAAACGTAAGTTCCTTTAAAATTTTCATTATTTAATAAGTTTAGAACATTTACTGAAGATATTCTTCTACAAGATGGAAAATTTTGTCGATCTTTTATATTAATGTCACATTTAATTAAATTATGTTCAATTTTACTATACGATTCAATTAAATAGATTATATGTTCTTTATCAATTAAATATTTGCCCATTTTCATTGATGCTACCTGAGAAAGAAGTCTATTTCTAAACTTAGTTGCAACGTGAATTGGGTCTTGCATGAAAAGTAGAATTTGTTGTTCTTTCATGAAAAACCAACTCCATTGTCTTGGTATGTTAATAGAAAATTCATCATGATTTTTAAATAAATTTAGATTTGGTAATTCAGCAAAAAATCGACTACATAATCTCATTGCTCGTAAATAACGAGAATCACCATCAGTACTAAATCCTATAACACGCACACCTTGCGCTAAACTTTTATTATAAATATATAACCATCTCTTCAACACCTCTGTTGAAGTTGCTTTATTATTTGAACCGTAAGTAGACAAAATCAATGGAGGAACAAATGGTTTTATAGATTGAATCATATGAAGATTAATGAATTTTGATTTATCGAAATTATCAAACCAACCTTTTAATTCATCAAAACTTTCCGTCTGGAAAAAGTTTGGCTTTGGAACACCATGAACTAAAGGTGCTGAAAAGCCAATGAAATTATTTGAATGTGCATCATATTCCACTCGACAAATGGAACCGGTTGAATCTTCAGCAGAAAATACATGATTACAATTATTTGATTGTGTATAATCTCTTAATAGATCAAATCGAAAATTACATTCAACCATTCTTACATCTTGCTTTTTCATTAATAATTCAACATTTGAAACATGTGGTAATGCTCCTGGTAAGTTTAATCTTAAAAACTCATAGCAATTTCTACCACCAAGAATGAACAATAACAAAGAAAATTGTTGAATATATTCATCATAACTAAATCTATTTTTCGGTTTTTTTAAATTTTCGAAAATATTGTTAATCCACAAAATAAGAATAGGAGTATCATTTTCATTTGATGAACTAGGTGCCTGCTTCCATATATGCATTAATTTTTTATACATATCATTTATTGTATTTTCCTGTGTTAATTCAAGGTTCTTAATCAATGAGTTTTTCTTCAACTTTACTAATGACAATAAACGTTCAAGTAAATTTCTAAATCCAAGCCGAAGATGAAATCTTCCGTCAGATGATATAAAACCAAGTTTTTCTCTAATAGAATGTAATTCAACAATGTCATAATTAAGAATTTCAATTAATTCATCTACTGTTAGTGAAGATAAAGAAGACATCTCTCGAATAGCTTGTACTCGAAAAAGATTGCTTAAATCTTTGTTTAAAACGATGTCCAAAAAATCATAGAATTTATCATAACTTAAATTCATCATATCATCTGATATTTCAGTGATAGTATAGATATCCATTGCTACTAGCAGACAAATAATATTAAATATGTATCAAAAAAAAATGCTGGTTGAGAGATCGAATATGTAAAAAGCACTAAATTTCCTAAAAGTATATAAATCAATTAGTTCACAAAAAACATCAGTTCTTTATTCTAAATAAGTATAGATATAATCATCAATAGTTTCTTTTCAAATACAGCAAACTACAAGTTAAATTTTGTTCATCTTACTATTAAAATCAAGAGACACAACAAAAATAAGAAAGGAAGTATTTGTTTAGCAAAAAAGGATAAAGTTTAATGCAAACAGAAAATGATATATCTAATATGAAATTGATTAAATGTTCTAGTTACAATTTTATGCGTTCAAGTAAAAGACAAGTAACAGGTTTTATACAAATAAATTAATTTTCATTATTGTCAAGAGCTCTCTTTTCTTGCGAACTATTTGTAGAATTTGATGATAAAGACCGATTTTTTTTGTTAGCAGTAATTTCAGTATCTGAAGATGTTTCTGTTGATGGTGATCGAAATCGTTTTGAAGATGTACGTTGTGAAGTTTTACTCTTTTTCGATCTAGTGTTTGATAAACTATTCGACGTATTTGATTGAGTTGTAGTTGAATTTCGATTATCAACTAAACTATTTTCTTTTCCATTTTTCTAAATATATAAAAACATGTAGCACTGGTTTTTTTCAAGATAAGAAAAACTCACTCTCTTCAAAACTTGTTTAAAGCATTTTTTTTCCTTTATATGCCGACAAAATGAAGACAATTTAAAAAAACCTGTTGGCATGAATGATAGTTTAAAATGAGCATGACATAAACATGATAAAATACAAGCATATTTATCGTTTATTGATTTATTAATTTGCAAAAAATAATGTACACCTTCTTCTAAAAATACATTGTCATTACTATTAATAGAAATCCACCATTGGTTGAGTCGTTGTTTAATATCAGTTAGATGACCGATCTCATCTAAAACACGTTGTATTCCTTTTACTTTCGGATGTGTTGATGATGTATCAACAACTACCGATGAAACAGGTGTTGATTCTAATGAAACTATTTCATCTTGTGATAATGTATCATTAACTAATGACTTGACATTGACACTGGACAATAAACGTTGTTGTGCAGATCTTTTTTTTTTCTTTTGTTGTTGTTGTTCTTGTTTGATCTTTAATGATTGAATTAAATTATTAATCGCAAGTTTGACGCCTAATTTAATTCGAAATTTATTATCACTAAGTTGAAAACAACACAATTTCTTCAAATTATTAATATCTTTTGAATCTTCTTGTAAAATTGACAAAATTTCATCGCATGTTGTGTCTATTAGATGTGTTGCATGTCTAATTGCCTGGAAGCTAAATAATTCGGCAAGATCAGCACCACGTGTTTCTTTAATAAATTCATTAAATTCATTCTGATTATAATTAAAAATGTCATCGGGTAAACTATTTGAATAGTTCGTTGAGTTTGAAATACTCGTTGACATAATTAAACGGAACCTATTTGTCGTAATTATAAAGACTGATGGTAGAAATTTAATTGAAAAGTATCAAAAAAAAATGGGTAAATTTCTGATTAGTCATTTGATGTGTTCATTAAGATATATGATAAAATAATGAACGTAATAGAGAGCGCTATTATCGAATTCTTTTGTCCACGACTTTATTTTTGTATTGCTTTTATAGATTTATCAACACCTACAGCACCTACAACACCTATTAAGCACCTATAGCACCTATTCAGAACCTATTCAGCACCCACAGCACCTGTTCAGTACCTACAGCACCTATGGCACCTGTTCAGTACCTA